GATTCTGCACTAGTGGTTATTTGGATAGAAAGAAAGGGATCGGACAAGATTACCTTATAGGATGGATTGGGGAACAAATCCCCGCAACAAATCCTCAGATCTGGAGTATTTGGGTGAGAGGATTGAGGTGGGGAGAGAAGGAAGCCGCCGTCGTCGTTCTTCTGTTCAGGGGGAACCGCAAGGGAATGGGGTGGGGGTGGGGGAGGGCCAATGCGCGGCGGCTACTAACAGACAGTGCAGCGCCTAGCGCTTAGGCGTTGCACTGGTCGATGAGGGGGCCAGCAGCGCCACGGTGGCCAGACATGCGGCGCCTGAGAACTAGGCACTGCACAGTAGGTTGTGGCGCCTAGATGTCTGGCGCCACACGAAAGGGTCAGCTGAGCGATTTTTTTTCCGAACTAGTTGAGTTTTTTTAGAGAAAGAAAAAGCAAAACACACGTCACCGTGTACCTCCAACACTGAGGGTGATGCACCGCAACTCACGCCGAAGGAGACCTGTCCGGAAGCACGGTATGCAAGCAATCCGGCGGGTGCTTTTCAGGACCCGAAACCCCACGCGCCCGGGAGGGACCCCGTTTGGACGCGCGGCAGCTATGGGCTGCTCTAGGTCGGCCTGACCACCCCTAGGGCCTCGAGGTTCGCCGTCCTGCAAAAGAAGAACGAACGAAGAACGAGGAAGAAGAAGAACAAGGGAGAAGGAAAAGTAAAGATAAAAGATGTAGATAGATTTGTTCGATTGTGTGTTGTTGTTCAATCGGCCATCACCTCTTATCTATATAAGAGTCGGATGGACTTCACGTACAAGAAAAGGACTTGCCTTTCCGTCCAAATCATCAAAATCTAACCAAACTCGGACTTCTCACGACCTCCGGCCCGGATGATCCGGCCTAGCTCAGTTTTCTGACAGCAGCTCACTGTTTGGGCTCTAGAATCCACACATGACTCTGGATTTGGGCGAATTTTATAAAAAAATAAACCATTTCAACGAGACGCATAACTTTCATGTTGAACACTTTTCGATCTGAGGTCATCTTGAGGAAGTTTCAGGCTGTTTTATAACATCTACAGCAGAAAAAACTGCCGTGACGTCTGGACTTCTACCCGAACTGTCTGGCCTCCATCTGGATCATCCGGAACTGGACCCAGATCATCCGGCTTCAGCGCCAACCTTCTGGTGTCTTTATGCTTCAATTACCGGATGATTCGGACCCGGCCCGGATGATCCGGCCAAACATTGCTGCAGCGCACGGTTTTGCCTGTAACTTTTGCATACGACCTCCGATGAGGACAATTTTTATATCAAAATCGCCCGTTTCGACGAGACGAAGAACTTTGCAGTTGTGAAGTTTTTCATCTGAGGTCGTTTAATTAGGTTTCATGCCATTCTTTAATCTATTGTCAATATGAGCATCTCTAAGATTGGCATAACTTTTGCATCCGAGCTTCGTTTTGGACCATCTCTATATTTATTTCGATCGGCTTGAAGAGAGCCATCTAGTGGTGACATGAACTCATAATTTTAACATCATCTCATTATAGCCTCAAGTCACACTTTGCGATTATGCCATTTTTGAGCGTCAACACATGCCCTCCTGTTTTTTGGCAAAGCTAGCGTGCCGAAAAATAACTTGTACCGTGTTGGTTCTAAGGACGATGTCAACACTCCATCGGACACTTTGCATGTGCTTAGGGCGATAAATATATATCGGCCATTACTTGTTTGAATCCTTGATGCAAACTTTGGTGAAACCTTCTCAACTTCATTAACAATCCAATGATAAAGTTCCATAGATATGTATCTCAAGGTCATCCTCGGAACCATATAATTCACCCTTTTGCTAGGATTTTGCAGATAATCAACAATAAACTTTCTCCAATCCTTACTTTCGCATGCATAAGAAAAATTCATTAGTGGCCGAAGCGTGGACTTCAGTTCGGCCTTACCTATTCTGACGAGACTAAGCATCGGCTATTGATAGAAATACGATGCACCATGAGTAAGATAGTAGCCGGATGCTTTGCTGTGCCAACTCTTTTGAATTGTCATATCTAGATGTGGGAATAATTTCAAAGCAACCCAAGATGGATATTACATCTAGACGTGCCTCAAGATAAATTATAAGTGATTCATCAAAACATTGATAGCCTTTGGATATTTGTTGCGTTACTCATAACGAATCCCTGAAAGCCTCGATATGTATAGCACCTATGGCAACCAAAAGCTCCAAACCGAATAAAATTTCTTATTCGGCTTTTACAAAGCAATTGAGTTGTGAAGTCTTTTCGTCCTCAAAGTCAATTTTGTGTTTTTCGCCGAATTCGCTAGCTCTTCCGTAACCCTAGCAGGCCAGCAGCCAGGACTGGGGAGGACTTGTACGTGTGACTGACGTGCGGGCCCTCCTGTTTAGTGTTAGTCTTGGACGGACCGGGCTGGCTCTACTGGGCTTCCATTTCATTTTCCGCACCACCTCCCTCCCTTCCTCCCTCCTCCAAACCGCCGCGCCACCTCCGCTCCGGCGACGCCCAGCGTAGCCCAAGGCCAACCCTAGCCTCCTCTTCCTCCTCCCACCGCGGAGTCCACCGGCGATGGGGGCCAAGGCGGGTGGCCCGTGCTCGAGGAAGAGGAAGTCTGCGGCACTCGACGCCTCGCTGGACGCGGCGGCGGCTGTAGAAGGGCGCGGCCCGGAAGTTACGGCGGAGGACCAAGAGCCGCCGCTCGACACAGCGGAAGGGAGCGGGGCCGGTGACCGCATCAGCGGCCTCCCCGATGGCGTCCTCGGGGACATCGTCTCGCTCCTCCCCACCAGGGAAGGCGCGCGCACACAGATCCTCGCCTCCCGGTGGCGCCACCTCTGGCGCTCAGCCCCGCTCAACCTCAACCACCACTGGATCTGCGACGACAAGGGCGAGCTCGACACCTTCGTGTCGCGCGTCCTCGCCGCCCACCCGGGCCCCGGCCGCCGCTTCTGCGTGCCCCTCCGCCATCCCCTCCGCCATCTCCGCCTGCAGCCGCCTTCCGCTTCTGTGACACACTCTGTGTTGCCACCATAGGAGAGTGCCACCTACCCGACAGCACCACTCAGGCGCTTCGCTTCCCTAAGCTTAAGAAGCTCGGGCTTGAACGGGTCAGCATCTCCGAACCCGCGCTGCACGCCATGATTGCGGCTTGCCCTACTCTAGAGTGCTTGCTGATTGAGAACAGTTCTGGCTTCCGTTGTCTCCGAATCAATTCCATTAGCCTTAGAGGCATAGGTTGGAAGGTTTATAGTCATAGGAAAGAGCTCAAATTTCGGGAACTTATCATTGAGAATGCCCCTCGTCTTGAAAGGTTGCTTGAACTTGGTTTAACAACTGATGTCTTGCATATATCGGTAATCTCCGCGCCTAAACTGGAGACCTTAGGCCGCCTTTCTTTTGTCTGTCGTACCACACTCGTGTTTGACTCGACGGTTATTCAGGTACCTATGACCTTCCTACATGCCTTTTATCTGCATTTCTATGTGCTGATGAGTTACATAATTTCTTCTGCAACTTATGGTCTAATGTTGTCTTCCATGCTTCATGAAGGGACTGCGTGTTGATAGCCTGATGACAACGGTGCGTACTGTCAAGATTTTAGCTCTTCATATGCATGCTCTTAGTCTGGATGGTGTTATAGACTTCATGGGATGCTTTCCTTGCTTGGAAAAGCTGTACATTGAGGTTACAATTCTGCTGTGACGATGGTTCATGTTATTCAATGCTCATTTGATCTATTTACTGTTCTGAAATGGTTTTGTTTCATTTGTCAATGTTTATTTTCAGTCCACTGGACCAGGGGAAACCAACTTGTGGCGTCGTAAGCACCAGAATCTTATAAGATCTCTTGACATTCGTCTCAAGACAATTGCTTGGCGATGTTATCGGGGCATAAAGTCACATGTTGACTTTGCCACATTCTTTTTACTGAATGCGAGGATGCTAGAGTTAGTGACTCTTGAAGTTAATCAAAACGATTACAATGAGGAGTTTTTTGCACAACAACGTAAGGTGCTTCAGCTGGATATGAAGGCCTCGGGGGTTGCTCGTCTTCATGTGACACCGGATGCCTCTCATCGCTACATTATGGACTTTGGTGTCCATGATTTGGATCTAGCTGATCCCTTTAAATGGAGATATCCGTATGAATTTCATGCTTTGTCTTAACTTTGTTAGTTGTCACATCTGTAGTTTGTTTAAGTTTGTTGCGGATTCGGAATGTTGGGCGATGTCTCCAGTTCACATCACCTGTCAGTCGGAACAAGGAAGAGGTGGGCTTCACCGTGGAAGTAGGGAACTGTTTCTGTTTTCAACATAAGAAGGTCCAATGGTCCTGATGTTGAGCTGATTCAAGTTGTATCCATTTCTAGAGTTCCTTGGACTTGTTAGTGAATCAATAGTATAGTACAGGATATCTACCTACACATTTTTTTTGGTTATGGACCGGTAGTGTAAATAAGCCCCAGACATGTGATAAATCATCATCAGGTTAATCTACGAGCAACCTAGAAATGCCAATGCCATGGTGCCATGATAAAATTGCTCCAGGATCTCCCTACCATCACATAAACACAAGCAAGCAAGTTCACTGAAGCAAGAAGAGAGTCGCCAGATAAACCGGCAAGCTCATTGAATTTCTGTTTCTTCAGAGGCAGTTGCACTGGGGTACAACACATACTTTTGAGTTTGTTCACCTCCGCACATCGCATGGATACCCAACTAAATCTATCTTTGCTTCAATTTTTCTGGTCTTCCGCTCACGAATCAATTTATCCAACCACAAAAATAGTAGATACTAATAATACTCCACTATATATGTTACAGAACGACAATGAAATAAATGCACCACAAGGGCGGTTTCTTTGTCAGAAGTTCGTATACAGAGTGCAACGACGATGCGCAATGCAGAACTGTATTCCTTCCTGCAGGACTTGTTACAACTTATAAGTACAGAAATAACACATGAATAGAAAGAGAGCCTATCAGGACGAGCGTCGCTGCACTAGCTTCAAGACAGGTTTTTTTGCATGCTCGGAAAGTTGCTGTTGCAACTCTTGCGCGAGTTCGTCGCTGTAGGAACCCTTCAGCCACACTTCTTTGAGACTAGCTAGATGCTCTAGTCCAGAAATCTGCAAGGACGCCCCACCAGAGCAGTGAATCTTCAGCACCTCAGTTGTCCGAATCACATGATCTACAAAAGTTACCAGTAACTTGGAGGTGCAATCGATCTCTAGGACCTGTAATGTCCAAAAGAGAACATGTCCCAGGGTGCTAAAATGGAGTTCACCGTCTTGAATTGGCTTGACACAAAGGCGGCGTATGAAATATGCATCTGACAATTCACCAAGGAAGTGCATGTCCTCTGGCAATAGTATAGTCAACTCAAGATCGAACTTCGTGAGATTATCAAGCTGTTTGATCCAAATTGGCAGTTTGTTTACATGCCCGTACAGCTTAAGGCTCTTTAGGGTCTTGGGTGGCTGGGAAATCATGTCACTGAAACAAGCAAATAACCCCTCCTTATCCTTATCCTTATGCTTATCGAGTCGCACTGACAAGGACTCCAGATGGTTGTGACCGGATATGAAATTACACAATTCTTGTATGTTTTGCCCGTTTATGCCAGACACACTGAGCTTGCGTAGTTGTGTAACCTTCTTAAGCTCCTTTAGGATTGCCTTTCCATTAGGAATATTGACATTGACAACACCAATAGTATGCAAGGCCGTCATGCTCCCAATCCCTTCAGGAACCTCAACACCATCATTATCAAGTCGGCGTCTGCGCAACTTGAATAACCAGCTAGACACCAAACTACATGGCCGGCAGCTCCATGACAACCGTGTTTCCGTTAGTGCTGTGACCATGTCATCACTGCCCTCAGGTGATGCTGATGTCTGAACCTCTCTTCTCGTTTCTGGTAGTGTTGATGTCTGAATCTCCTCTGTAGTTTCCGGTAGAGTTGTGACCACGCCATCACTACCTTCAGGTGGTGTTGATATCTGAACCTCCTCTGTTGTTTCCGGTAGTGTTGTGACCATGTCATCACTGCCCTCCGGTGGCAATGATGTTTGTTCTACGTTTGTTGTTGGTACACTTGCAACAGATTCATCACCTTCATCTGATGATATGATGGTGCCAGCACGAATGTATTGCAACTTCTGTAGCTTGATGACACACAATGGTAGCTTGACTATTGAGGTGTCTCTGACATCCAAAGTTTGCAGCTGCCTCAGGCCACCGATAGATTCTGGTAGATGGCTTATCTCTTTGCATCCTCGCAGAGAGAGAAACTTAAGACGAGGTAGCACCTTCACGATCTGCTCAAGGTCAGCATCTAGTATACCTGATGTGTCTGCCAAATCTAACACCCGAAGTAGACTCATGTTGGAAGAGAGGAAGAATGGCATCCACTCCCCAAACACAGTCAAGGACCGCAGATGTGAGAAGTCCATGCTCCTAAATACTGCCTCGTCCCTGTCCCAGTCCTCCCTTATGGTGAGATGTTGACCTGCATGTTGCGAGTTCGGGCTGCAATTCCCTTCCAGTGCGAAGACAAGATTGTCCTCCATTGGCCGTGAAATGATGTATTCATGAAAGAAACCATTGACTTGGTATAGGTACTTCTGTTCCTTCTGACATTGTTGGATTATGCTCAAGCTGATGAGTTCCAAGAACAATATCTTCCCATTCTCCTCTGCAGTACCACTATATGTGTCCCTGCAATAACCCTCTGCAATCCACCGTCTCAACAAATGCCGCTGCCTTATCTTGTGGTCTGGAGGGAAGATTGACAGATAGAAAATGCATGGCTTGAGGGAATCTGAGCAACCGTCAAAGTAGGACTGCATCCAAGAAAATAGACCCCTTAAACTGTGAAACCAATCATGGGTCTCCAACTTGCTCATAAAGTCATCGTTTATAAACTCCAACAAATCTGTGGCTGACATAGACCAGTACCTGGCATTCTCTTTGGTGAAGAGTTGGCCTATAGTAGCAATAACTTTAGGAATCCCACCACATCTGCCTAAGGTAACTCTGGAGAGCTCCATCTCGTCAGGAGTAAATTCCATCCCATCCTTTATTATCTAAAATCCAGAAATAAATTAGCTTCTAAATAATGTAAAATCTCTATTTGGCAAATAGTAGTTACCATAAGTTATTCAGTATCAACATAAAAAATACAGATTTGCCTACCAAATAAGTAATAAATTTGAAATTAAACTTTGAAAAATAAAATCAAATATTGCATTTGTTTTCCATGCCTGACATGACCGAACCTACTTTTCCTCAATATCAAAAAATAAAATTCCAGATTAACTATCAAATAGGCAACACTAATGTTGTGCACTATGGTTTTATGTCGTGTTATATGCCGGCTGGGACTTGAGTCTATTGGCATATTAGCTAGCAGTGTTAAGACAACTGGAATTGTTGGAGCATCAGCTGGTCAGGGTTCTAGATTCACGAGTGGTTCGATTCGATGGAATTGATAGAATATTTGGAGGATTTGGATTTTAAGGATTTTTTCCTACATAGGTCATTTGATTCACAGGAATGGAATCCTTATGAAAAATTCCTAAGGATTGATTTGATAGTGCACTCCTTGTTGTCGACGAAGATGACCGCATGGGCAATGTCTCGATTTAGCATCTCGCTGAGAAGGCGAGCCAACGAGATTCCTGACATGCTCTGTAGATGTCGCAATTACTCTGCCTCGCACGAAGAAGTTGCGACAACCTTCTGCCTCATTGATTGCCAGCTGACCGGACTGCTTCCGAGGAAGAAAAGTATGCTAGAGGTGCACTTCCTAGAGTCCAGGTCACCAGCATGGTCGGAGTTGCTGTAGCCGACCAGGTTCTCGCCATCGCCACCTTGATACACGCATTCGTGCATGATCGTGCCTGAGATGTACCAGAGCAGGTGTTTGACGGCGGCGAGATGATAGCTTCTCGGGGCTTCCATGAACCTGCTCAGAAAACCGACAGCGAACAAAATGTCCGATCGGGTATGCACGAGATACTTGAGGCTCCCGATAATGCTGCGGTAGAACGTTGCGTCCACCGGCTTCTCGGGGCTCTCCTTACTAAGCTTGAGTCGTGCCTCCATCAGAGCTTGCATGGTGTGGCATTCAGACATGCTAGCTCGCTCCAGCATCTTGGCGGTGTAGGTCACCTGCGTGATCATCATGCAACCACGCTCTTGGTTTACCTCCAACCCGAGGTAGTATTGGAGCAACCCGAGGTCGCTCATGCTGAAGAGACGTAGCATTGGACCTTGTCGGGCTCTGCCCTGGCGATGACCATGTCGACGACGTAGATGCCGACGATGAGCAGCATGTTCGCGGTGCCACGCGGGTACATGCCATGCTCAGAAGCGCTATGGGAGAACCCAAGTGATGCGAGGCTCACATCCAGCTTGGCGTTCCACGCCCTCGGGGTTTGTCAGAGACCGCACAAGGCCTTGTGTAGCCTTTACACGCCTTGCTCGTGTCCTTCAGCGATGAAGCCACGTGGCTGGCAGACGTAGACGTCCTCCTCGAGATCACCGTTAAGGAACACCGACTTGATGTCCAAGTGGGGTACCGCCCATCCTCGATGTGCCGACATGGCAAGCATCAGTCGAACAGACTCGAGCCTTGCCACAGGTGCGGAGACTTCCTCGAAGTTCACTCCTACGCAATGTGCATAACCTTTTGCGACGAGGTGTGCCTTATGCTTGACAATGGCATGGTGCTCGTTCTTCTTCACCTTGAACACCCAGTTGAGCCCGATAGCTCGATGCCCTGCAGGCGGTATGGTGAATGTCCAAGTGGAGTTGTTGATTGACAACAGTTGGTCCAACATCGCTCGGCGCCAACAATCTTCTTGCTTGACCTCCACGAACGAGGTCGGCACCTCGTTGGCCATCAGATGCAGAACGCCATCATCGTCGTCATCATCCTCGTTCTCAAAAAGGTATGGTTGTCCTGCAGTCTCCTCGAGAAGATCCCGAATGTGGAGTGGCAACGTTGTCGTTGGCGTCGAACATGTCCGACCTTGTCATTGGCAGGGACACAAATTTCCCGGGATCCACCTTGAGTTTTTGTACCCAGGGACAATGTTCTCGGGGTCTGCGTTCTAAAACATTTCCCGGCCCCCAGCTCCCGGGGTTGCAGTTCCCGGGGTCACTCTGCCTGACATTGCACTTCCCGGGGAGCCGAAGTACACCGGGCACTCAACTCAACGGTGAAGGAGCTGCTTGCTGCAGTCTCCCCCGGTGCCTCCCAGCACCAGTGTGTGTCCTAGTCAAAGACAACATCCCGGAAGATGTGTACACGCTTCACGACGAGGTCATGCATATTGCATGCCTTAGTTGGACCTTGTCTCCTAGCCCATGTACTATTAGTGCTCCTGTCATCAAGCTTGTTCAGTTGTGGGCGTCTTGTCTTGACGTGCCCAACGCATCCGAAAGTGCAGAGGAAGTAGACGTACGGCTTCCTCCCGTACCAAGCCTCCTGAAGGAGCGGTTGAGGATGAAGACGGATATGAGCATGGCCTCCTCCCAGTACGTGCTAGGCACCTGCTTTACCTTGAACATGCAGCGTGCCATGCCGAGCACCGTCTGGTTCCTTCGTTCGACAATGTCGTTCTACTGCGGGAGTACGTGCCGTGAGATGTCGTTGTACCCCTTTGTCATCGCAGTATTTGTCGAAGCTGGCCGATGTGAACTCACCGCCACGAACCATACGCAGCACTCGCAGCTTGTGGCCGTACTCCAGCTTTGCAGCAGCTTGGTGCTTTATGATGGCTTGATCCGCCTCGTCCTTGGAGGCGAGGAAGTATCGTCCACATGAACCTGTTGTAGTCATCGATGAGCAACATGATGTAGCGACACCCGCCTGGCTTTGCTGGGTGATCGGGCCAGAAAGGTCCCCGTGGACCAATTCTAGTGGTTTCTTTGCCCAATACCTTGCCTTCTTGGGAAAGGCAGACGCCGGCGCTTCCTGACAAGACATGCATCACACAGCTCGTCGGCGTGCATGATGTGCGGCAGCCCACGCACAAGGCCGCCACGAGCCATATTTTGCAGTCTGTCAAAGTGCTGGCGTTTGAGCTAAGCATGCCAATGCCTAGCGTCGGAAACATGGCCCACGGCGAGGCACACAAGATGCATGGGGCCAATGAAGAACTTGTGTAGGAGATTCGATCCTTGGTTATCTTGATGAGCAACTGTTGCGCTCGTCTTGCACGGAGAGCACTCTGCGGTGGATGGTGATGTCGTACCAACTCTCGTCGAGCTGGCCGATGCTTATGATGCGACTCTTGAGTGCCTTGATGAAGAAGACATCCATGGACGCCATATGGTCATCCCATTTGTCGGCGAAGATGATGGTCCCATGCATGTGGATGTCGTCCACCGAGCCGTCCGTGAACCGCACCTTCCTAGTGATCGAGCGATCTAGCTCCGCGAACACGTCGACCGTAACAGTCATTTGGTTCACGGCGCCGGTGTCGAGGAACCAAACCTCGCATCGCTTGTCTCCAACAAGCACGGGTGTGGTCACAACTCTCTCCTCATTGAGGACGATGTAACCACACACACACTCCGTTTTCAGCGAGCCATCTCCTACCAACATGGTGGACCCCGACACTTGGTTGTCAAGGTATGGCCAACCCGAGTCGTCGTGCGCTCCTACACAGACTTGATGGTCGTCAACATCATGGTCGAGGCGTGACCTTAGTCGTCGTGCACTCTTGCACGGACTTTGCAGGACCCGAGGTTGTATGGGTCGCGGTTGCCGAGACAAGAACCAGCGTCGCTAGGGACTTGGTTGTCGGGGCGTGGCTTTCACACGCATGTGCCTTCATCGCCTCCCAGTCAATAGGCCCCGAGAATGACGGTGTCGGGTAAATTCCCAACACTATAGGGATGGAGTCTGCTGACGGGCTCCGTGTCGCATGCACGGACTCGACAATTGCTGAGACCGTGCTCGTGGCAGGCGTTGTGCCCTCCTGCACGGTTTGGGTGCAAGCCAGCATCCTTTTTGGCCCACCGTCTACATCAAATTAGACGAGGTTCGCCGCGACCGCGATAGCCTCGTCAGTTATCCTCTTGCGGCAATCGCGGACCCGGTGGCCCTTTATGCCGTAGTACCGGCACTTGTCCTGATGGTCATTGTTGCCAAGACCACATGCTAGCCTGCCCTGTTGTTGGGGCTACCCTGGATTTCACCGGCACGTTGAGCCTGGCCTCCGCCTCTACCGAGGTTGCCCTGGCTTCCTGAGGCGCCACTGTCGTCACCCCGCCGCTTCTTCACCTCCCACTCCCTTTATGTGTGAAGGAGATGTCTGTCACCAGAATTCTCGCGACAACCATCGAGGTGGTCCTCGGCCACTCTCAACCGGACTGTGAGCTCCTCGATGGAGAGTGTGCGTAGGTCAAGCAGAGTATCGATAGCAGTTGCTACCTAAGCAAAGCGAGAGGGGACAATTTGCAGGAACTTCTACACAATTCTCTCATCGTCGACAGTGTCACCAAGCAAGCGGAGCTGTGTCGCGAGGTTGTCGATCCACATAACGAAGTTATTGACACGCTCTCCATCCTTGAAGACGATGTTCTCGAAGTACCCCCGCAGCCTCTGCACGCTTGCCTCGCGCATGTGGTAATTGCTGAGGCGCTGGGTCCTGATGGACGCCCATGCCTCCTTGGCGCTCGCCTTCACCGCAAGCATGCCATTTATCTCCTCCGGGGTAGAGCTGATCAGCGCAGCCACCATTTGCATGTCCTCGCTCCTGGAGACGGTGTCGTCCTCCATGGGGAACCATAAGTTTGCCGCCTATAGTTTGCACTCCATGATCAGCGCCCGCTCGTTGTAGTTCGAGCGAGTGAGCATCGGGAAGGAGATATTTGTGCCGCTACAACCTCCAATGATCTCGCGCGCAATCTCCCTTACCATGATGTCACTGTGGTTGCCACGCCGTACCAGACTGCAGCCTCGACACGCCGTACCCTTGTGGAGGCGGTGACTTGGAGCCGCCCGTCACGGTCCGCAGCTGCGTCTCTAGCAGCGCCTTGGAACCGCCCGAGGCGGAGGGCTTCTTTGTGTCACCTGACATGGCCACTTGACCGAGTCTCTGATGCCAATTGTTAGCCCAAACTACTATGGAAGGTGTGTACTATAGGTGCTAGGGGTTCTACCTTGTGAGTGGTAGGAGAGTGTTAGGGCCTGTTTTGTGAGTGCAAGGGGTCCTACACTATGAGTGGTAGGGGTGCCCTGTTTGTGGTAGGGATCATATTCTATGAGTGCTAGGGGTTCCCAAAGCTGAGTATATTCACTCACACACAGGTACACTTGCACAAATAGTACTAAGATTTGAAGCTGAAAGTTTTCTCTCAAGGAATGGCTTGATTATAAAGGAGAGATTACAAATCCTTTTATATGAAAAATGAACCGACTATGGACTACATAGTACATGCATTACGAACTAATACTAGTGTGTGAACAAGAAGCAAAAGTCCACTACAACAGTTACTTTCCCACTGTTGCGGTAGCAGAGTATACCAGTTACTTTCCCACTGTTGTGCTCTGTGGACAGCAGTGTGGCCACTATACTGGTCTGCTACGAGCCGCTCTACAGGTCCACTACAACATCATTCCTTCGCTAGGTCAACAAGATTTTCTTCTTTCCATGGCAAAGTTTAGCATGCTCCCGCTTATCTCCTCTTTTTACATGTGAGATAAAAAGATAAAACTTAATCGATCACTAATTAATAAGATCAGCGGTTCAGATCTATTATATACTCTTACCTCTCATGTAAAAAGAGTAGGTACGAGGGACCATGTTAAATTAAATCATTTTCGTTGTTGATGTTTTAAATATATATACACAATAATCTCAAAAGCATGAGTGTTTTTTCAATGATGCTGCCCACTTATTCGCATTGCGGTATGCTGATCCCAGTATGGGATTTTAAACTTTGTATACCTTGATTCAATGAAGATTAATAAATAAATGGTTGAGAGCACACACACCTGTTTGAAGAGAACGAGCGTCATGTCAGCTTCAAGACCTTTGACATTGACCGCTCGATCTTCCTTATTATCTACACAATGTGTAGCCACACTTGCTTCATTTGTAATTACGATGATACATGCATTAGTAGAATCGGGTAAGAAGGTGGCTTTTATCAAGTCCCAATCCTCTCTGGAACGTAATCCATCGAGAACAACAAGACTTCTGTACTCACACATAATTCTGCGACACTCTTGAACAGGATCTTGCCCTTCCAAGATACCAATTGCTGCCTTTTCCTTAGCTTGAAGATCATCTGAATGAAAATCCAGGAGCAAATGCCAAGACAAGTCTGTCAAATTAAATGGATGACGCACGTCTACCCAGCTGCACATTGTAAATTCCGTTATGGGACCAGCGAGGCTACACTTGAAATTTTGCTCCAGTCCAAGCATCACGTGGCAGTACAGACTTCTTGCCACAGCTGATTTCCCAACACCAGCAATTCCCCACAATGAGGTCACACTAGGGCCTGGGGAATCTAAACGGCGGAGAAGCTCATCAGCTGATCGATCCTGACACCCAAGAAGTCTAAATGTGTTGATAAAGTTAAGTGCCTCTGCACTCCTGTTGGAGAATACGCGGGAAGCACAACCCTGCAAGTCAGATGCAGAACTGTTAGATTAGCACAAGCCACGCCCATCAACTCTGGTCTAGTATGCATAGAAAAACTTACAATACAGCTCCAACCAGAACAAATTCATAACTTAGACATTGGATCCATACATGTTCACGCTCCACATGAACCAAATTGATGCATATGAATTTTTATTTTCATCTTGGATCAATTGATAATTTTTTTTAAACTATTTTCACTGTTTTTGAAGGGGAGCCTTGGCACAATGGTAAAGCAGCTGCCTTGTGACCATGAGGTCATGGGTTCAAGTTCTGGAAAAAGCCTCTTGCAGAAATGCAGGGAAAGGCTGCGTACAATAGACCCAAATTGGTCTGACCCTGCACAAGTGGAGCTACATGCACCAGACAGCCCTTTTTTTCACTGTTTTTATATGAACATAGGATCGCCTGGCTGGAGTCAGGTGAAAATTTTCTCTTCTATCATCGAAAAAGATCACCCCCCTTATCTGGATTATCGAAGGTACTTGACAAACCCCAGTAAATAATAATTCTCCATAAATAAGTGTGGCATACACACAAATTTAAGCTAATAAGATGACATGGAATTAAGATAAATTCAACAATTGGTGTACAAATCATTTCCTTAAACATACATAAAAAGAGGAGTGAAAATAAGTTTACACAATACAGCAGCTTGTGTATTTCATATTAAAAAATTATGGAAAAATAAAAAGTTTATTTTAAACTGATGGACAAAACATGGTGAGATCCAAACCGCAAAATTAACTGTAATACCTGCAACAGATTCACCACCGACAGTTTAAGATAGTATGATTGACTGGAAAAATAACTCAAGAAATTTTGTCTGAAATTCAAACTACTGTATTTCCAATTCAAAAAATTATTCACTAACATACAAAATACGCTCAAATGTGTGAAAACCATGATAAGCGGGAATATTAGACAAAGTTTGAGGAAAAAATAATCCATTGTTGTGATTTCTCGTTTCAATGAGGATCATCAAATGATCTAAAATGAGCGGGTTTAGAAGGTTAGGCACTAAATTTAGAGACAAAGGTCCAGACTCCATTTGCACCATAAAATGGAAGTTTTTCTAAATATATACACGCGTCCAGGAAATTAGTCCATAGGTTATTGGCACGGTAAAGAATTAGCTAATCATTGGAGATTAACACACCTTTATTGGGGGATCAAGGGCCATGTCAGCTTCTGGACAATTGATCTTGATCACTCGATCTCCCTCGTCTACACAATGCATGGCGACACTTGCAACATTTGTAATGACAATAATATGGCTGGTAACTGGATCAGATAATAAGGCAGCTTTTATCAAATCCCAATCATCAGTGGACCGTAGACCATCAATAACGATGACACATTTGTCTTCATGCAAAAACTTAGAGCACTCCTTAATTGGGTCTTGGCCTTCCATCATACCAACTGCTGCATTTTTTTGGGCCTGAAGATCACCTGAATGAAAATTCAATAACAAGCGCCAAGAGAAGTCTTTCAAATTGAAAGGATGCGGCACATCAACCCAACTAAACTTTGCAATTTTCCCTTCCAGGTGAACCATTCTCTCTTGATATTCCAACTGCCGATAAGCATCAGTTCTAAACATTAGATAATAGTACACGATTCTTATGAGAGTTGATTTCCCAGCACCAGCAGGTCCCCACAACGAGATCACACCAGGATTGTCTAATTGGAACCAAAGGTCCTTCCTTTGTTCCCCATGCATGTTTCCAAATTTTGTGAACCATTCACGTGTCTCTCCCAATCTGATGGAGAAAAGGAAATCCCTGTGAGTAGCTTCCTTCCCTCCAGTTCTCCAACCCTACAAGTAAAGATACATAATAATTAAGATGATAGGCACAAGAGTTTGACCAGCTGCTCTGAAGACCTTCCAATGGTATGATCGACCTCCATCAATATGATTGTGCCCATCAATGAGATGACGGATGACATAGAGAATTGGGTTCAATTTAGGTTGAAGTGTGTACGGATGCATACCTTTATCAAGGGGCGAAGCATAATGTCAGCTTCCAAATCTTTGATGTTGAGAACTCCATCTTCCTCCTCTACACAATGTGTGGCAACACTTGATTCATTTGTAATGATAAGAATACATCCTTTAATAGGCTCAGACAAGAAGGCAGCTTTTATCAAGTCCCAGTCATGTGTGGACTGCAAACCATTAATAACGACGAGGCAATCGTCTTCACGCAGAAACTTGCAACACTCTTGAGTTAAGACACACTCTCCCATCATACTAACCACCGCAATTTCTTCAGCTTGGAGATCTTCTGAACGAAAACTTACAAGTAAGCGCCGAGAGAAAACCTCCAAATTGAAAGGAGCGGGTACATTGACCCAGCTGTGTCGTTGAAATTCAACCCCCTCGAATTGTCTACACTTATACACTATGCTAGTGTACACTTTATTGATGAGTGTTGATTTGTCATTGCTAAGCCCCCATACCGAAATCACACTACGACACCTTATTTGCCAAATAAGATCTCGCATACCACTCTGACGCCCTACCTGCAAGCAAGGGACATGATTGTTAAACTAGAGGGCCAGCATGTGTTTGGTTTAGGATTGGTTTTGTTTTTT